TCACTTCCATCTCACTCCATTCTCGTCAGTGATGGGCTCAAGACCTCCCTCCGAAGAGGCAAAATAATGATTGTGTCATCAAGCAAACGAAGCTTTGGGCACCCACGAAACCTTGCAACAACGATGGAAAGGAGCGTTTAAATGGTCTTCACATCTCCAGCAGTATCTTCCCCAAAATCTCTTCAAAAGAGCTATTGACGCCTCTCCTGCCAAGCCTGAGCTATGCCTCTCCGCTCGGATTCTCAATGAGTGGACGAAGTTCCGAGATCAGAGTTCCGACCCGAAACGCCGGGTGATGAAATGGAGCCTGCGATTTTGTGTGCGTTTTGCTTGGTGAAAGCCACCCAAAACCAGCGAACCCGCCACGCGCGGCACTGCCCCTCACCCAGAAAAGCGTCGTGCTTCAAGGCCTGCGCAGCCGAAGGCCGCAGTGACATGTTCCGCTGGGTCATGGCGGACACCAAGGATCCAAGCTCAGGCATCTCTGATGGAAAGCGCTTCCAAGGTAGTTGGAGTGCAAGCCCGGCAGCCTTGTCCTGCCACCATATGGAGAAAGGATTAAGGTGCCACTCCATGAAGGCAAACAAGACTCTCAAAAGAATGAATGCGGGTGATGCAAACCGTTGACGTAAGCATCATTAGCGAAACCTCTAGAGGGCAACACCCTCTGCACCCAGTTCTCACTGGCACCTCCTCGTTCTCTCCCGTGGTCTGCAACACGCCGATGACATCGCCACTGGGCACCTGGCCAATCATCAGCTGAAAGAAGACGATGCCCATGCTGAAGATGTCACCCTTGGGATACCACCATTCCTGAAACCCAAAGGCGTCGGCGTCGGCTTCAGTGCATGGGAAAAAACGGGCTGAAGATCAATCAGATCTGAGATCGGATCTGGAGATGTTTCTAGGGTGAAAGATGGCTCGACATGGGGCTCAGAAAATCCAGATGGTTTTCCACACCACCGTTGGGATCGGTAGGGTTCGATGCAGGTTTCTTGAGATAGGGTTTTAGATGTTTATGGAGAAGGCCATGGATTCAGTGGAGTTAGAAGACAGACATGTGTGACATATGGAGAAGCATCTGTGTAGATGAAGCTTCATGTAGTTGGGCGTGACACGTGAGTGTTCCTCGAGCAGTTCCACGATGTTTCCTGTGCTTTGAGACACTGATTTCTTGTTGGCTCTGTTCTGTTCAAGCAATCAGGATGAAGTCTCTTCTTACGTGAGGAGATCACACTTTCCGTTCTGAAACTCTTGCTTTGCTTGAAAAGGGACAGATCGAAGGACCAAACTTCAAATTTTATCAAGACCACCCTGATTCCTGGAGTGCACCCTCCGGAAGCTAAACACTCCTTCATTTACATGATGAGAAAAGCGCAAGGCCACCAAGAGGGAACAACGCGGATGAAACTCCGCGGCCGACCCCCCGAAGCACTCGTGATTCCGAGAGAGGTGCCCTTTTTGGGTGGAGAAAAAAGCCCACTCAGCTCCACTCGTCTGAGTGCGACTCCCTGCTCCCCCCTGAGCTGTCGAGGCTCGGTTTCCCAAGTCTCCGGCGGAATGTAGCCTAGGATGTGAGGCTGGAAGCGCCAGCGGCAGCGGTGCACTGACGCGGGTCATGGAGGAGAGGATTCTGTTTAGGCAACCGGAAAAATAAAGACTTGGGGGACCAGCAACCACAGCATGATCGTTTACTTGTGCTGGAAAGAGAACAAATTGCAAAACCATCGAAACCATGTTACACTCCTCTGCGCATATCCATGCATATCCCAGCATCCCAGAATGCGTGCAAATGCGTACGAAAATATTTGAAAAGGAAAATATGAGTTCGGTTCGGAGGTCCTTCGCTTTGCGGCCATCTCACCACCAGAAACTCGTCTCATCCAACATTAGATGCCAAACCTGTGTGACCAAAGGCCTTTTTTCATGCAAAATGCATTCCAAATCGATTGCCCCATTCCATCGGAGACAGCCTCCAGTCCCGATTTCCATGGGTTCTGTGGGTCTTGTCGGGCTGACCTCTTTTTTAAGGAGTGAAACAGTGAAGTTCTCAACAAAATGTTCTAAAGCAATCAAGTCATGTGATCGCTACATTCTTTAAAACCAAAAAAAGTGGTATATGCACATATATGTGTATATATATATATATGATAATGAAGGGGTCTTGGAATCCCATGTCTGCGGGGTTTATGGTTTTCAAGAGTTTACATGAGTGTGATCTCTGAATCTTCGAGTGATCTGAAACAGTGATTTGCCGTGATTTGCCTCACGTTTTGAGGACTCTCCAGTTCAGATCTCCACCTTTACCGTCCTGGACACGCTGTGAATGTGGCTATCAAACCGTCTGCCTTCGTTATGAGATCACCGTCTCTTATGGAGCTTCCCTCAGGACCTCACCTTGGGAGCGGCCAGCTCGAGTTCACCTTCCGAGGGAGCGGCCTAGCTTTCATCGAAAAAAAGACGTGCCAAGGTGATCCTTGGCCAATGATACCAGGCTCAGCAACCCCATTTCAGGCTCCGCAATTTGTTTTTAGAGCACCAAATCAAGCGCTTGATGGACAGTCCAACGTTCAGTGAAAGCCATTTTCTAGCTAGTGGATCCCTAACAAAGTTGAATGTGATTTGCAGAAAAGGATCTACTTTGGGTCACTGTAGCCAAGCACAACCCCCTTTGGCTGGTGATTCGTAGCCTATGAGTCTGTTATCATCCCCTTGGTCACCCTGTAGTTCGAGGCATCTTCCTTGCTGGTCCCACTATAAGTGACCACGGAAATCCATTAATCTATGCAGAGTTTTCAGAATCCCACTGCACGGTGACATGTCCTGTTTAGAGCAAGAGCTCTTGGAAAAATCCACTTGATTTATTGGTCTCATGTCTCATCTCCCCAAATCCACTCATCCAAGAACTCATCGACGCTCTCCCAGGTCAAGCCGCCGGCCGTGCCGCTGGCTCCACTGGAGGTGGAAGAGAAGCCCTCGGCCAGGCCGAAATCAATCAGCACCACGCGAGGATCCTCACAATCCCTGCGCAGGGGGCGGCCCGGGTGGAAATCGGCGAGAAGATGAGCGCGGTTGGCGCGAGTGTGGTCGTCGGCGTTAGCGAAGACGAGGGGACCAACCGAGGATGCATCTGGAAGTGCTTGGGCCAGCATGGGCCAACTTGTTGCGGGACCTCCATCCACTCTGGCTGGATCTGAGGGTGAGGTCGACTGTGGACGGTTTGAATAAGTTCCAACTGTACCGATTCAATTTAATCCCTTGGGCACAACAAAGACTGAACAAACCAAAATGCTCAGTGTCCGAAAGAGAATCATAGTCTGGCGCCACAGGATCGCGAAAAGGTTACATCCTACCGTGAAAACCGCTCAGACCCCGCTCATGTTCTTGCTTTCAGACAAGAAGAATCAAAACAATTTTTCAAGCTCTTCAACAAATGTCACTCCGCATACAAGCTCCAGCATTCTCCCCAAAATTGCATTCCCCTAAGGGTGGCCTTTCTGCGAGCATGATGTTCTCTTCCTTGATGTCACAATGCATCACCTCCGCTGACAACACTGCCAAGCTGCTTTTTCGTGTTGTCCGTCTTTGAACTGGAAAGAACATGGAACGATGGAGTGTCTGCACGCTGCTTCTACTGGTGATGGATGATGAATTCTGATGATGGAGAATCTGCCTTTTAGTATTTTTGGTCCTAAAAATTGCACTCATCATCGTGCTTTCTTCTGCCCCAGATTCTGCAATGCAGAATCCGCAGAACGTCCCAGGTCATTCCTGAAAGGACCTTGGCCCTGAACAGTGCTTTTTTCTGGATGGCAAAAACAAAAAAACCTGTGTGACCAGAGTTCAGAATGAAAAGAAGTTTCGTTTCATGAAGTTGTCTTTTCATAGCCAAAGAAGTTCCACCCGGATGACCGAGGTATGGAGCCGAGGTATGGAGCCGCACCCCGGTTTGCCGGAAGCCAAACGGCGGACGGGGATGTCCTTTTTCGGTTTTGGAGAAACAAAGGAATTCCGAACGAAACAAGAAGGGATTGGATGAAACAAGGTTTGCAAGAAGTGTCGTTGATGGAAACGTCGGTTCTTTTGGGGGTGAACCAGACGACCTCGACCTCTTGAGAGGACAGGGAGCTGTGGGGCTGTGCTAGCTGGGTGTCAAGAGCTTCTCCATGCATCAAGTCAAATCAAATCGCTCGAATTCTGGACATCACTTCTATGGCATTCCAGATATGCAAATTGATCTACACTCCCTGCAACAAGCACATAAATACACCAAGGGGGGGGAGAAGTTAATGTCCCTGCTGAGGTCATGTTCATCTCAGTAGCTTGTATCTTTTTCAGATGTAGTTAATTGAAAAATCAAATGAATGATGTATCATCAGAGCTTCTGGAAGGCAACTTGCATGTTTCGATGAAGTGGCGATTGAAGCAGCTTTGGTCAGTCCTAAGTCCTATGCCTTCGGAAGCAAAAAGAATGCTCTCAGTTTCAAGATGAACCACCCAACCCTTGATGACCATGTTGTGCAACCACAAAAAAGACTTGGGGAAAAGGGTGGACTCGGTTTGGGTAACTATGTCGTTTCTTGCGTAACAGGAGAACTCTGCTCCTGCACCGAGATACATCAACCCCAAGCAGCCGGAGATTCAAACAGCAGCATGTGAGCTGCTGTTTGGAAGAAACAGCCGAGGGACGGCTTGAGAATGAAGATATTCCAAACCCTCCAGGCACTGATAAAAGATCCTGAGCTTGGCGGTTCTGGATTGAAGCCTCCCAGCACACATAGGTGAAGATCCCAACAATCAAATCCACCACTGATCTATAGCCAACATGAATGCTAACCTATAGGTGGTCACGTGGCAACGTGGTTCTTTATTGGACACCCATTCCAAGCTCGAGAGGGCATGTACTTTCCTGTCGCGGAACCGAGGCTCCCCCTCCACCAATCCTCGCTCATAGAGATCCCCTGGTCGTGGGCGCGCTTCCCCAGCTGGGTCAAGTCCCCACCGAAGTAGGGCTCGTTCACCAGGTAGAAGAACTCGGAATCCTCCACCACACGGGCGAGGAGCAGAATCCAACCAGACGGTGCGACATGGGGCGAGGAGACACTGGGGGTGACTGAGAAAGACAGGAAAATCAAAGAACCCGGTGGCGACCGGCGAACGTGCCGGCGTATGGATTTTGTAGCTTTTTGGATGATAGGCAATGATAGGTGTTTTGCTGTCATTCTAGTTGCCTTCCCAATCTGCCTAGGCACCTCAAACAACCACCTTCAGCCAGCGCAAGAAAAGAAGTCACTCGCTCAAACGGTGTCTCAGTCTCCAAAACAAGCACCTGGCTGAGAGGCTTCAGATGGTTCTAGTACAATGTTAAGTTCCTTTGTTGGATATATTCTTGATACAAAACGATACCTGAAATCCGTCCTAACATACAGGGTGACAGGGCCAAATTCATCTCTAAAAAGGCAATCCTGGCTTCGAAAAAGGTGTTTCTAAAGCTTAGCCAATAAGATTTTTAGAGATCACGGATTGAAATCTTAAAAATAAATAAATATATAAATGAATAAATAAATAAACTACTCTTTCAGGAACATCTGTTGGACTTTAGAACTCTGTTGGAACTACAGACCCTCAGGAACTACTTACCACAAACTCTCAGGAACTACGTGCAGGAACTTCAGGAACTACTATCACTTTCACAATCTTCTGCATTCTTGCCGAACATATCAAATCCCCGGAAAGCATCCACCTGCATGTGTCCTGTTCGGAATGTGTTTCTCCCTCTAAGACCCAAGTCGCTGCTGCGATCAACAAGGGAAACTCAAGCACTTGAACCTGTCAGTCAAAAAGACTTCACCAACTAATCTTGAATTGGCTGCAGCTGGTGTGGTACCAGACCAGTTCTCTTCATGAAAAAACAGGGGGAAAAACCAACGCCGAAACCCGCAGGGCTCCGCGAAGATCCACCGACCTCTTCGTCCTCACGGACTCCGGGAACCCGGTGAACGCCGCTTCGGGGACGCGGGACGCGAACGGGGCTCCTGGAAGACCTCAAAGGTCTTGGCCACGTTCTTGTGACAGAAGTCTTTCATCAAGGTATACCTGAATGGACGCTGGAAGTTGGATTCTTACAGTGCTTGAGGTGGGTGTCCATTTTTTCGTCGAGTCTACTTGCTGTAACGAACCGGAACACCCAAGCCGCGTGTGTTTGGCGTTTCGGACGGAAAGCAAAGCTTGGACACTTGGTGACCAAGTCGGGGTGCCGAAGATTTTGAGGGGGAATGGAGCGACGAAAAAGGACACAAAACATATGTATAACGGTTCCCCGTGTAATGTAGACTGTTGATTCACGTTTATGTTGATTAAGTTTTAAAAAAATGGTAATAAAGAAATAAGTATTTTGTATATATATATATATATTTTTATGTTATGGAGAGATGTTGCATCTTCAAACGGGGAGAGGAGGTGTTATTACGGATCTCAACAGTCTACATGGCTCAAGTCCCTGTCCCTTGGGACTGTGAAGAAGTTCGTATGGTACCCTTTAAGGCCAAATTCGGTCACCATCCAAACGGCCGATTCGTTCACCACCAATGCTCCATAGTCTATCTGCACTTGGAAGGCCGGTTAGACTCTTGATCGATAAACTCCTCATATTAGAAGAGGATGTTCCAATTCAAAGGGAGGGGTTATTGATCAAGAGTCTACATTATATAAAGCCCTTTCTGGGATTCAGCAGTAACTAGGAACAAGAAGCTACTAGTAACCGGGGCATCGCTACTAGTAGCAAGAAGCTACTAGTCCACCGTACAGGGGGCCGATCGCCGCTTCAGCAGCACGAAGCGGCCGATCGCGATTTCCCCCTCCCCGACGAAGCTGACTGTCTCTTGTGCGACTCGTAAATGGATGGAGAGTAGATGGCACAGGGCCCCAAGTTTGGTGGTTTATATGGATGTCCATCTGTGTAAGACATGTAGGGGTGCGTCCCATCGAAGCTCTCTGAAGCGACCAGTATCCCTGTAGTAGAGAATAGGGAACTGAGCCTTGAATCCATAGATACCGAACAGGGTCCAGCCAGCCTCGTTCCTTGCGAGTCGTCGCGCCGGTCAGTTCTTTGGAAAGGTAGAGAAAGGACCAGAAACTCCGAGGTTCGTAGGTCTGTGGTGCTAGTGAGCCACACACGGTCGTATCGGACAACCAAGGAAAGGAAGACAAAATACATTCGTCCAGGTACTCGGTGAGCAAATCCTCCAAGGTATCCTCATCACCATCTGCTTTGCTAAAGAACTTCAGGCAGTAAGGCACTTCGTCATAGGTGCATAAGTACCTCAATGTGTCGTCAAAACTGGAATCAGCAGAACCCGAAGGCTGAACATCCACCAAGACAGGTATCCGAAGAGAATGCAGGCGCGAACAAGAGTGTCCCTATCTCTGCACCTTAAACAGGACTGATTTGGAATCTTCAGATGTCTGGGTGAGGGTGAGGGTGCTATCAGAAATTTAAACGATGCTTTCTCTCCAATGCAATATGAACATATATGATCATCATATATGAACAATGAAAAGGTTGTGTTTATGCGCGCAAGCAGCTGAGCTTGGGTTGTTTTCCTCAAGAGATCTTCAGAAAAAGTCGTTCTTGCCAAACCCATCACTATGGTTCAACCTCCCCCAACCTGCGCAACCGATTCCGGTTGCGATTCTTCCGACCACATGACCGGTGTGTCTCAACGAGACCGGTGGCGGGCTACAGAGTGAACGCGAGTGAACGTGTCTCAACTCCTTTTTGTTCGCTCCCTCTTTACAAGGGACACCCCACTCCCAGGTTCATTCTTCCAGGGACTCAGGGACAATGCTCTTTTCTATCAAGGATGGTACTTTGGGAGTTCCACGTCAACATTTCGGTCAAGCCACTGAGCACGGACCTGGAGGAAGCGGGCTTTCGGCTTTGGGGTAGGATTCCCACATCTCGCGCAAGATTTTTGCCGCCCCAGACTAAGACCCAGGCGTCCCGATCCCCTGGAAGAAGGAATAAAAAATAGCCACTAAAATACACCTCCCAAAATGGATGTTCTCAAACCAGAACCACCGGACCAGTCCGTCCGTTGGCATTCCAAGGAGCATGACGCCCTGACCACCTCGTCCCAGCTCTCGTTGGACCACATAGCCGCTCATGGCTAACGACATCTCAGGGACTTCCATCGGCAACTGCCGGGCGCCCAGCAGTTTTCGCTTGTGGCCTCGGTGTTGTGAGGTGGGCGACAAGTCTGGCCTCTGTGAATTAAGGTGGGCGACATGTCCAAAGCGAGAATTCGGACGAAGCATTCCAACTGGACATAGGCCAATCTATGAAAGGAGGCATTCACGGTACTGATTCCAATGAACTGCAAGCGAACGGAGCCCAAAAAGATACAAAAACATGAAAGCCCACCAACAATAGGAATCTCTCCAGGTCTACCGGGAGGTCCCGTCTCTCTCTCTCTCT